GTTATATTTCCTTTGTAGACTTGACCACTGTAAAGAAATCTTTGTTAATTTCCCACAATGCACCATTTCATATTAAATCACTCTGACTGACTTTGTTTACTTGTCAACAGAAGACACTGACGTGGTCAGTCACAAATTTGCCTAAATTTGAACAGTGAGAACTGGTGCAGAATCTTGAATGTTTCTTCAAATTTTTAGTTCTAAAAAATTCTTGTTCAGATTTTAAATGTGGTCTCAGACTTTTGGACCCTGACACTGTGGTCATCATTCAGGGTTAGCAGAAAGATCAAATTTCAATCAAATCAAAAGAAATAAAGCTGTAATGTGAGCATAGCCTTTGGTATTTTTAAACTAGGGTGTCCAGCTGTGGCCCTGGAGGGCCTTTGTCCTGTTTGGTAATTTGTCTTTTTAAACTATTTAACAGTTGTTTATTTGTCGGTTAACAGTTAATCACTTAATGATTTACATCCCTAGTCCCATTCATATTTATAAGTCTAGTAGGTGTGTTTGAGCAGGAAACTCACAAAGCAATTCTGGACTTCAGTACAGGAACTGGACACTCCTGCTTTAAAAGCTTTGATAGGTCACCTCTGTTGTAACTGCACATGATTCCTGCTTTCTGCTGACATTTTGTCCCCTCTGTAGGCACTTTCCATGATAGATATGTGCTGTTAGCTTGACTAAAGAGCATAATTGAGACTTCAGGCTTTTCTGGCATGCTTGAAGACAATCAATACTGCATCTCAGACACATTTTCTGTCCATCAATGGATAAAGGCCATCACTTGCAGATGGTACTGACAGAATACAATATAGCCCAGCTGACAATAGAGAGTCCATGCATGACAATGATTACTGAAATAGCTTTTGTCTAATCAAGTGTTTATGTTTATCGATTAAAAAGCATTGAATTAGCTTTGTTCTCAAAAACAATTAACGCTTTTATGGGGTAGTGAGGGAGCGAAAGCGCAGCCCTGACTGCATTGCAGGTTTGCCGGTGGATCAGACAGAGCTTGGCCATAAGTCCGAGAGAAAGAGACAGCTGGGAATGAGAGATATGCAGAAAAACACTTTTTTGGCATGACAGCTTCAAACCACTCTTCCTTAATCCAAGAGGTCCCTTCTTTGCCCTGCCACATACATATAGTGTTTAGCCACTTTAAATAGCCTGACATTGTCTCCTGTTTGAGATTTCCTATTTCTTGCTTATTTATTTATTTATTTTTTAGGGTCATTGAAATGTAGTGTTCCATTAATCAAATAGCATCTACTGAGGAATTTCATTTCCTCATTGTCATCCCTCTGTAAGCTAAGTACAACAACAAATGCCTTTAAACATCAACTGTAATACTTCTTAGTGAACATTCTTGGAACAAGGCTCTTTGAATTACGACAAAAAAGACACTCGTTTGCTGCTGAAATGACCGCAAATGCTGTCCGCCGAGTTCAAACGAAAAAAAGACCTATTTGTTTTTCCAGCACAGAGTGGAGCGACTGAGCTAATGAGACATACAGTATGGTTGACACTTCACAGATTGGCTTGCTCTCTCTTTTTGTTTTTTTCTTTTTTTAATTTGCTTTGCTGCAAAGCTGCCTGGTTTGCATTATGCATACCCATTTGATGCAGACTTTTCTCTTTGTAACATTTGGCTTGCCATTTTTGAACACTCCTCAAAGCCCAAAGCCAACTACTCCATATACATACAGTCAAAAAGTTTAACCATCCTAAGCCTTACCTATTCTGTTGGTTTTCTGAGTTAAATTAAGGTAGCACATCCTCTACAGAGAACACACTTAAATATAAGGTTCTTTCTGCAAATGTTAGTGTCCAATTCTATTAATTTAGTTTAACATGACGTATACAATGTGCTATAAATTTTAGAGCTGTGTTCTCTGTAAAGGATGTGTTTTCACTTAGGAAATCAACAAAACATCATTTGTCCAGGGGCGCCCAAACTTTTTCATACGACTGCATCTATATGTGACAATAAATTAATGTAGAGCTTGAATGCGGATGTAAATCTTTTACAGCCATTTTGAATGTTCACTCTTACAAATAAAGGGGCCAAAAGGGTACTGCTTTCGTTTCCCTAAAGAACCTGGATGGTTCCTTAAAAAAACATTTTTCTAGATGAGATGTGTGAGTATGGAGAACCTTTTAAAAGAACCTCCACATAATGTAAAGGCACTGTCCCAGTTATTTTAAAGGGCCCATATAATACATTTCTTATATTTTATCTTTTTTTTCTAAGATTGACCAAGTCACTGTTGTACCTTTGAGAAAACATTTACATTGTTTGTACCTTGATGAATGAAAAATGTACCTGCACAAAACCTTTACTTCTAACAGTGTAGGCTGAAACACTCCTTGTAACATTAGAGTGGGTGCATGTGGCTAAACAGGCAGATATTTGTAAATGTGATGGTTTTTGTGGCATTACAAAAATACTGAATTCAAAACTATTTTTGCCTTAATTTGTATGTCCAGTATGTCCAAATATGGACTGGGTAATGGATGGCATGTTTTAAAACTTCAAAAAACTTTCCAAAAAAGTGTGGAAAACTCAGTTTTTTAATTATATGGGCCCTTTAATTTTTTAAATTTAGGAACCTTTAGTTTTAAATGTGTTGCTGGGTATTTCCACACACTTCTCCAGCATAAGGCCTTTCCAGCTTTTTCCAGCAGGTTCATGATTGCCAAAGTCATTTTGGACTCCCATGGTAAGGTGAAGGAGCACAAGCAGCTTCACTTCCCTCATGAAATTGCCATTAGGAGCCTGATCGTGTCTCCAGACACACCCGAGAGTAGCATGCCTAGAAGACATTCATTTGCAGCCCTAATGTTCTGTGGCAAAAGGATTGAAGTCATTTCAGCACAAACAAATTGGATCTTGGGCTCATCAGAAGCTGGAGTCAAGCCTGCAGGTATCAGTGCCCTCCCCCACTGCAGAGGTATGGACACAAGCCTGGTGAGAGCAGACAGATGTAAAAATAAAAATGAAAGGAACAACTGAAGGTGAAATGAGGCTTTCCGTTTCAGACAGGACCCTCTGATTGATGGGAGTACAGCAGAGCTTGTTTGTCAAGCCTGAGGATGTAGACACACGGACACGTGCCGCACAAGGTGGCACTCCATCGCATGAAGTGTTCCTCGGCCAGGGCTGACGGACCAGGCGCTGACCACTGAATCAGAACAGGCAGGCTATTATGCGCTCGGCTAGATACACTTCCCCCCATTTTTGCTTTCATCCGTGCTTCCCCCTATCCTCTGGTCATCTTCAAAAATGATCCTGAGAGCTTTGACGTCCCAAGCTGTTTCAGGCTGTACTCTTTTGTGTCAGTTGTTGATCATTTTCCCTCTTTCTCTTCTAGCAGGGAAAGCAGGAACGGTGCACCAACAGACGGCCCACATGAAAAGAGATTTTAAAAGCCCAGTAAATCTGAGGCGCAGACGCTCCAGATCCTTTCTCTCCACCGTCGGCTGATCTGATTATGCCTCTTTTATAGTGCCTCTTCATATTAAAATCATGACCAATATGGGATCCTCCCATATTTTTTTCTCTAATACCAAGCTTTTGAAAGGATGTCCTGCTTAATATGTATACGGCATCATGCAGTTCCCAGTGTTTGGTACAAAACAGCATGGCATGAGTCACTGCACAGACCCAGTGAAGGAGCTGATTACACTACTCAGCGTCTTCTTTTATCAAACTACACAGAAACGCAGGAACATTAACCTACTCACTGATTACGCTGTGTAGGCCTCTGCTTTGCAGCTAAAGCACTCTAAATATACAGTGGAGAAAAGAAGCCACTAATTCAAGAAGCAGCTTGACTACCGTTAACACTGACTGTACGGCACTGCACCAAGTTTAGATCTTTACCCATCTTGTGATCCTGCTTTCGACAAAAAGTCACCACCTGCCTTCCCCTTTCAGCAGCTAAACCTACTGTATACTCCACAAAAATGTACAAAAATCTGCCTGATGTAACAAGGACAGCATCAAAAAAGGCATAACAAAAATTATCTTTAGCAGGGCAAGTAAATTATATAGAATATATGGAATCACCAATGATTTTTTCTCCTTACAATGACAGTAAGTCTAAATTTTGACTTGCTATATAACAACAGTTACTTATTTTCTCAAAACTTTGACTTTATATCTCAAACTCATCTCAATACTGTGCTGAAATAACATGTTTTTCTCAAAATTATGACTTATCTCAAAATAATTAAGAAAATATAATAAAAATTACCATAACTTACTTTCATGAAATTAGAAAAGTAATCATTTCAACATAGTAAGTGATTATTTTAAGTTCATCAATAAAATGAATCAATAAAAGTCTCTTTTTTTTAATGTACTAAGTCAAAATTTTGACATGCTGCTGCCAGAAACGAGCAGGAGAAAAAATAAATTTTAAAAAACTGTAAATCATTATAACTTGATAGGTAGACAGATAGATAGATAGATAGATAGATAGATAGATAGATAGATAGATAGATAGATAGATAGATAGATAGCCTCTCTTTTCAGAAAGGCACGTTTTCTAACCCTTTTGCACCCTCTGGAGCTCCGCCCACTGAGGGGAGTGGCCGTATTATGTTCAACCCACATGTATTAAACGTGGACATTACTTTTTTTATCAGAGTAGCCTAACGTAACATACTTTTAGGTAATAACAAATATTATTCTGTAAGTCTGCGATTTAACCGACATCATGACACACTTGCTGGATGCTGTCAGTGGCGCTAATTTCTTTCCCACCTGTTTTCCGGCACGCTGAACTTACACGCTGCCCCTCTTGCTCGAGGACTGGCTATATGAGGATCCCGCCTCCTGCCCTAGGACTGGCTAGTAGTTCCTACACACATGCATGCAGGCGGACTGTTTGTGAGCATTAGCCAATCCTAATACAGGGGGCGTAGCTTTCCGGAATACAGGTGGGGAAAAACGCGGAGCTCGACTTTCGCCTGAATCGGGAAAGCTGACCAGCAGCGAGAAAGCCAGGCTAAGAAAGTTACTGAAAATGGCTCACATGTGAAGAGGAGGGCAGCTCCACAGCCCGCGGACTGGATCGCTTCAGTTGTGCTACTCTTCAGCTCTTCTGTATTATTATTTTTCTGTACCTGCGCCTTTTCCCTCAGACTGAAAACTAGCCCAAAGTGCGTGGAGAAGGACGAGCTGTCACAGAGCTCCGAGCGCGCAGGTCCAGTTTGGCAGCCTTATCTGACTGTGGGCTTTTAAATCAACTCCTGAATATGGGTGAAATCCGTAACAGACAGCAGAGGCGCCTGTAACTCAGCACTGCAGAAAGCTGCATCCTCATTCATGCATTACGGGACTCGATGTCGTTCCTGACGTTTTACTGGGAAGGAGATGACTGTTTTCCACCAAGCAGCAATGGTCAGTGAATTTGGCGGATTCCTGCATCCCGTCAGTCAGGCACGCTGGGATTATCAGAGTCCAGAGGTAAGGTAAGGCACTCTCACTTCGGGCTTTTCTCTCTCGGCATCTGTTGGTTCAGAGTGGCTCCAGTCTGTAGTGTAATCACTGCTTTGGTTTGCGTGCCGAAATGTATACAGTGAAAGAAGCTGGTGCTTAGTGTGTGTTGGCAAGCGTGGGCTATAAATACACTGAAAACAATGTGGGCAGCAAGATAACGGATATATGAAGACGTTTGGTTTAAATGTCAATTGTGTATTGTATACCCTATATTCTATATCCCTATATGTAGTGCATATAGAGTCTCACTATACTCTTACACTGTATTGGTATATACAATATACAACTAATATATATATATATATATATATATATATATATATATATATATATTTGGTGTATACAGTAAAGTATAGAATCCATATATAGGGTATATTCTGTATGCACAGTACATGTAGAACATGACATGGAGTATACAGTATATAGGGTACAATCTATACAATATATGATATATAGCATACTATATATCTTACTCTGTAAGATATACATGATATTCTGTATATGTAGGGTATTTAGTATACAGCATACAGCCAATATACTGTATGTAACTCCCCTGAACCCTAGACAGTAATCCACACCACACCCACGCTGTAGCCTTTCTAAATTTATTTACAGTGGCAAAACTCTGAAAGCCCACAGGATTATTCACAAAGATCCTCCTTGCAAGCCGGTTTGTGTTGTGAAAGGCTATAGGTCAAGTGAGTGAGGTCTTTCAGGAATTGCAGTAAGGAGTCAAACAGTCTGTCACATTATTTGTGTGGGCTTGCTTGCTGTGCTTGGTGAAAACCTGCTCTTAACATATTCACAAGATATTAATGTTCCTTTATAGGCTGCAGGCACACAATTACAAATATATGTTTTTCAATCCAATGCGAACCGTAGGTGCATTTGAAATGAATTTACAATTTGTTCTGTAGGACATGAAGATCAGGACAGTCTGCTCTGTGTGTGTCAGTCTAGAGAGAGAGAGGAGAGAGAGAGAGAGAAGATATTCTACCTTATTTCCTGTTATCCAGTGATAACATCATCAAAAAGTTGGCAGAAGCAAAACTTTCTCTCAAACATCTCTCTGGTCTTTACCATCAACCTGAGGATTTGAGATGCATCTTAAGGTCAGGCTACATGACCAGAGGTTAGGATTATACCCCTCAGTGAATATATAAGCACCAAGAACCCTGGAGTCCATACTGATCAAAGAACCTAAACATTTTGTTGATGTTTTTGCCTCATATCCCCCACCAACTCCAGCCTGTGGGATTTGCTCTCAGGGTGATAGAAGAACGCTCCATAAAAGATTTCCATTAGCCTTTTTCCTCTAGACATTAAGCCTGTTAGGACAATTCAAGCTTTCTCCCATTAGAATTCTGCAGGGCATTGCCTCGTAAGGCTTAACTGACTAAGACAAAGCCGAGGGAATTTGGTTGCCCCTCAGCGCCGCTAACGAAGTGCCATAATCAATGAGCAATGAAAGCATGTCTTGCCACTCTCCTGCTCGAGCGTCTCTCGCAGTGGAAGAGATAGAGGAGGGCTATCGACAGGCTCTTTCTAAATTATTCAGCAACTGAAGCTGAGATTTCCCACGTAACTGTTTTCAACATCAAAAACGTCTCTAGATGCAATGCTGCCATGATGGGAAGATGCTGTATGATAAGACAGATTGGTTGAAAAGTTTAAAACCTATGGTGGATCTTGCTGAGCTGCTCAGAATCACGCAAAGGTAGAGTAGAAGAGGCAGAATATTACTGTCTTCATATGTCCTCATGTGTTATTGTGTCATCTGTCTTTTTGAAATGCTGCAACAAGAATAAGAATAAAAAAGACAGTCAATGATTATGTCCTATACTTTTGGCTTGAGGACTCAAGAACAGATTAAGAATGTAAGAGTTTGAACATGGACTCATTATATCTGCAAATAATCATTACGCTAAAACCCTTGCCCCTTTCTCTGAAAATCAACAGTGCACTTTCTGGGGGCTCTAAATGCTTAAAATGCCACTGTGCAAAACCTGTGTAAAACGTAAAACTACCCCTGAAGGGCAGGCACAGTTCTGTTGCATTCATAAATCGCATAGTGCTGCTGTTTCTCACACATAGTTTTTTTTTTCTATATCACTTGCAGTTTACATCATAACACAGTGCCAGCCGATCTGTCCTGCTTCCAAATCCAAAGTACTGTAAGCTTAAATTTCACAACTTGTAAGACTCTCTTATTTGTTATTTACTATGCAATAAAGAGGTGTCAAAATGAAACGTCTACATTATAAAAGTAATGTACTTTGATACTAATATCAAGATGACTCACTTTGAGGTCTACTTATCACATTTGTGTGGATTCATGTACCAAAAACAGTCGTAATTCATTTGCTCATGACCATATCCAACCTCTCTTTAGACCTTAGAATTAAAAAAGGCTGTATTTGTTACTGTGCATTTAAGACTGGTGTATGCAAATGATCTCTGTTCTGATTGGCCGGCCTATATTGTGCCTCATTCAAAAAGCAGACTGGACTGAAAAACACCTTGGGTGGTCGGGCCAACCTGCTATAGGTTGAATAGACGGCTATATGACAATCAAAAATGTGAAATCAAATCACATTTATTGTAACATCACATTAACACAGGTGCGAAGGGGAGTGAAAATCCTAGGTGTCTAGCCCCCTAGTAGTACTTAAATACAAAAAATATATATATATATATAAAATATATATTTAATAATATATTATATATATATATATATATATATATAAATTGGTTTTCCATGATGTAGGCCCTTTAAGTTAGTGTTAAGTTAGCTTGGCCAAAGCTTTGCTGGCTAGCTTACTATTTCAACATTAAAAAGAATTAAACAGTAAAATAATGGTTGAAAATAATGAAATTTTTATTTCAGTGATTTTTTGTCATGAGTTCAGAACAGCATGCTAAATGCTACAACATTGTTTTGTGTCAGTGGTGTTACAGCTTTACTGATGTTGCTCAGCATAACAGACACTTTACTCTTGAATTATGTATCAACATACATACATACTCTGTTTGCCTAGAATGACCCATATACATTCATGAGATCCTGCACAGAGCAAGTGAACAGAGTGCGAGAGTGTAGTGTAAGCTTGTGAAAATAGAGCTGCTACGTGTAGCTAAAAATCTCTGGTGACTACAATGCTGTGAGGGTATTTCAAACTCTCTATGATAACAATACCATGTGTGTCGAATATGGTGGAATACCTTATTACTGCATATCAGCACATGCCTACCATGTGATTTACACATGAATAATGGCCTTCAGTGCATCGAAGTCTGTTTACGCCAGCAGTGCTAAAGAAGAGTGGCAGTTAAGACACATTTACATTCTGCTGCATCCTTAGCTGCATGTCTATGATGATGTTTGTATTTGACCTGTTTTTTTCTTTCTTTTTCCTTTTTTTTTGTCCTGGGGTCAAGAGCCAGGGTTTGATTGACAGCATACTGACGCAGTGAAATTGTGCGAGTGACTCAAGGCCAGTACAGTGGTTTATCAAATCAGCCTGGCCTTCAACAGAAATTGCATTATATGAAGCTAACTTTGATATAAATAACTTGATGTGATACATCAGCACACTTATACTGTAGGCATGTACAGTAGCTCTGTATGCAAAAACATGCACAGGCACAAGACAATCATTTAATCAACATTTTTATCGTAGCCTTGATGTAATTTGGCTGCCATTTATTTGATAAGCTTTTCATATTCACCCCCAAACAAACATGTAATCACTGTTCTAAAAGGAAAAAAAAACAATAATGGCTCTAAAATACCACTTTCAAATGTCAGTAATTTGGTATTTCAAAGCAATTTCAAGGACCTACTATTGTGCAATAGTCAGTAGCAGTTGGCTTCAAACCTCTATACACATCAGAGTGAGTATAATATCTCAGCAGGGACAGTTTCCTCATTCAGCAGCTACACCCTTTCTTCATTTCGTACATGCATGGCAATATTTCAAAATATATGCCATTATTCACAAAACATGGCATTATTCAATGTAAGGCAAATAAGCCACTGATCTAACTGCATCAGGCTTTGCGAAAGCACAAAAAGACTGAGTTAATCTCAAAGAGAATTTAGAGAAAGAGTTGGCAACATAGCCAATATATATAACATCACATTACTTAGTTTTCATTGTACATGATATGTATCACGATGTTGACCTTTTCTGAAGTTTGTGAATTAGATGTATAGAAAAAAATGCACCAGCAAAACAGTAGTGCTACATATGACAAAAGGCATGATATCGGCATCATCGCAGTATCACAGACAATTGCTTAAAGCTGCGCTGAGTAAGGTTGTGTATTTGGAGACCTTTCTGGTGGAAATATATAACTGTACAAAATGTGCAGAAGAATATTTTGTAATGGCGGATGAATGAGATATTTGCAAGCATTTTAAGAACTCAAAACTTGGTGAAGGATGTGTCTTCAAAGATGTAAGTGAATTCATCCCCTTGGAATTATAAGGTTCTGTCTGCATTCCGAGCTGTTTTGTGATACTAAGCTTCAAAGATTTTCCATTCCAAATAGCAAAACTGATATGTGGAAACAAGACTGTGTCATACATGAAAATGACAGACACCCTAAATTTATTCTAAATGTACAATAGCAAAATCTTTGCAAATTTGTAAATTCGTTTTTTTGGAAGTGAATAAATGCAGGTAGAACTTTCTAATCTTAAGAACTCACTTTCTGCTTGGAATTATAATGTTCTATCTGGCAAAACATAATAGAAGCAACGTTTTTAAGCAACACAAATAATTTACTCATAATTTATTTTGAAACAAAAACAGAGTGTTTATGTTATCAGAAAGTTGAATTTAATGCTTTCTCTGACATTTTTGTAACATTTTTTTCTTGTTCAAAAAAGCATTGCAGATCAAGTATAAAGGTCAGTGCTAAATATGTTGTCCAGTGCAGAGGTCAGTTTTAGGTAGTAACGATTAGT